CGACCTCCGCGGAGCGCGGGGGCCCGCGGCGGGGAGGAGTGGAGAGCGAGACCCGGCGCGGGGCGTTCCAGTGCCCCCGGGCCCGCTCGGTGCTGGGGCCCGAGCCTCCCAGGACGTTAGTGGGGATGGTAGTCGTGCCCCCGGGCCCCGAGTTCCAGCCAGCCCTTTGCGTATTGTTACCAGTGCTTCCAGCAACGGCGCGCTGTTGGCCCCGTCACAGATAAGGAAACGGGCACGGAGGCTGTGATCTTTCATTTCTAGATCCTGCAGATCTCAGTTTAAAAGTTAACATCTGAGACTGCCCCTGATGGTAGCCAATTCTGGCTTCTTCCAAACCAGCAAGCACTCACTTAAATGTGCCATAGGTTCAAGTACACATGCAGGCATTCTGTTGAATGGCCGGGTAGGTGACTTGAACACTACACTTTCCCAGGAAACAACTGTCAGAGCCAGTTGCTGCTTTGTGCCACTATAAGCCCAGTGCCACCGTGTCTTACAACTTTTTAAGGGAAGCTGAAAGATTTTTTTAAAGTATACTTTTTAAATGTTACTTTAAAAGAATATTTTTAACTGTACAGTCCAAACATAACATTTATATAAGCTGGATTCAGCCCAGGGGCCTCCAATTTGCAACCACTATTTTAAAGGAGATTGCTTAAAGAGTAAAACACTCTGGAGCGAAGTATAAAAATGAGTGAATACCTTCAATAAGGCAATAGTCCTTTATCTTTAACTCTTTATGCACAGGTAATTTAAGCCTGTCTGTCCTTATATTTTTCCCATTCAACAATAAAGACTATCTTTTTAGTGTTTTTAGAAGATGGTTATATAATAGAAAAGAACAAGTCTGACTCTATTAGATCTGTTCCTTTAGCTTTAACCAGTATGCCCTGTTTTCTAGGCTTAGTCTTGCTAGCTGTGTACTCACGTAAAGATAACAAGTTGCAGAATAGAGAATAACATTTGTGTTGGAGGTTTTGCAGGAGCACAATGAGCTGGCCCACGTGGACAGCTGCAGGAACAAAGAATTCCTACACCAAGAAGTTTGCACCAACCAACCACACCCCCTCCTGTTGTTTTCTGGGGGTCTTTGAGGGGGAGGGGTTGTATAAAAGGAGCCTGTATTCTGACTGGAGGAGGATGGTTCTCCAACACATTAGTCTGCCATCCTCTCCGTCTGCCGGCTTTCAGAATAAAGTTGCTGTTCCTTGCCCCCAAGTCTCCTCTCCTGATTTATTGGTCTCCCGATTTATTGGCCTGTCCTGTGGCAAGCAGAACGAATTTGGACTGGGTAACAGTTACCTTTTAACAATGTTTAAAAAATGTTAAACTTGGAGAAACAGGTAAACTTTTGAGGTCAGTTTTGACATTCTTGACCCCAAGGTCCACTATGCTGGATGTGTGCTTAGTTAAGAGGTTTCTTGGCGGCAGTGACCTGTTACATTGCTAAGCATCACTTGTGCCTCACACAATGGGAAAGAACCTAAGGATGGCTATATAGCATGCAAGAGGTGTTCAGGGTCCCTTTAGGTTTATCCAGTTCCTCCAACTCCTTAGATTTGAAGGCTCCTTGCTAGATCTCAGTACCCATGTTCTTAGATAGACCTCATGCATTTTGTTCATTTGACTACTCCTGATCCATTCCTGGACAGGCTCATTTTGAAAGTAAGAGTGAAATGAAACAGTAGAATGCCATGCTCAGGACAGAGAGTAGGCAACCAGGAGGCTCTTCAGGCTTTATAGTCTTGTCCCATTTCCCTTGTGTCCCTCTGAAGCCCTAACCTTGTCCCAAGCCCTAGACCAACCTCAGCCAGTGCACTCCAGGACATACCAAACTTGAACAACAATGAGAATGTCCAAAGCCCTAGACATGTATTAACTCATCTAATCCTTATAGCACCTTCACTACATAGGAAACAGACCAGAGAGGCCAAATAGCTTGCCCAAGATCATACAGCTAGTAAGAAACAAATAGGATGGGGAAGGGTTATAAAAATAAAACTATTGAAAAAGAAGAGATCAGCAAATACTAGGTTTGGACTTACAGACTTAATAGTAAGGCAATGGTTCTTAGATGTCTTTAGTTCGCTGAGAGTTGCAGACAAAATTTTCATCTTCCAGGTCCAAATTGGAAAAATAATGCAAAGCTTCATTTAGTTTCCCCCTTTTTGGGGGGGAGTTGGAAGAGGGCACTGTTAGAATGTCCTTTTATTTGTAAAATTGTCAGCAATAGACAGTTGTCTTTTTAATTTTCTCAACAGAATAAAACGCTGGCAACACTAGCATGTTTGGTCCCATTAACACAGTTGATGTAATTGGATGTGAAATCAAGTCTGCAAAGCTTAAGAGTGAGGCTCGGTACTAGGCACTGATGATGTGAAGGAATCTGCATGGTGATAGGCCCATGTTTCTTGAATTAAAGTGAAATGAAGAAAGTGTTGTGAGCAAAACAATTGAATTAAGCCAGAGGGAAAGAGTGAAATACAGAGGACATGCTAGAAAAACCTGTGTATGAGCAAGGCAGGGAAGTGGATTGGGGACCAGGGGTCTCAGGTCTAGGAGTGGTAGAATCCTAGAAGACACTTTCCTCTGTGGGCCACTCACTGCCAAGGTCTCAGATTGGACCCCATCCCTCCACTGTCTAGACTTGTGCTCTCCAGTTTGGTAGCCACTTGCCATGTGTGCCTACTGAGCACCTAACATGTAGCTAGTGAGACAGGGAAACTGAACTTTTATTTAAATTTATTTGAATTTTTAAATTGTAGCAGTATAGACGGCAAGCAGGATAAATGTCAAAGAAATCTGTGTGTCACCATATCCTATTCAAACTGCAGAAAATCAAAGACAAAAATCTTGAAAAAAGCCAGAGGGGGGAAAAGCCCTTATCTATAGAGGAGCAAGGGTAGGAATTACATCAGTCTTCTTGTTAGAAATAATGCAAGCAACAAGAAGGGAAAGTGAAATATTTAAAATTATGAAAGGAAGAAACACCAGTCTAGAGTTCTGTATCCTACAAAATTACCCTTCAAAAGTGAAGGAGAAGACTTTCTCAGACAAACAAAAATAGAGGAAATTTGTCTCCAAAAAACCTGCTTCGCAAGAAATGTTAAATTCTTCAGAAAGAAGGAAAATCAGAAAATCAGATCTACATTAAGAAAGGAAGAGCATTAGAGAAGAATAAATGGAGGTAAAAAAAATCAGATTCTTAATTTTTCAAATCTTAAGTGACCTGACAGGTAACAGATGGATTAAAATAGCAATAGCAGCGTGTACAGGGTACAAGTTTGTGGGTAAGTGAATGAATGGCCGCAGTGTTACAAGGGGTGGGAGGGAGGAACTGGGAATACTCTTTTGTAAGGCACTTGCACTGCCTGCAAAGTAGTATAATTTTAAAAAGCAAAACAAGAAGTATAATTGCTATGCTAAGAGAGAAGGGAAAAAAATAGAATCATAAAATGCTTAATTAAAATCAGAAAAGGCAGAATAAGAGTAGACCACACACACACACACACAAAAAACAACCAGAAAAACAAGAGCAATAAATAGAAAACAGTAACAAATATGGTAAATACTAATCTAATTATATCAATGATCACTTTAAATATCAATGGTCTAAATATACTAA